GTTGGAAAAGGAGCTTAATATTGATACGTTCAACCTTGGGTCTTCAGGGGCCCCTCGGTCCGGCATCACCTGGTGGTTTTATCGCTATTGAAAGTACTTGAGCGAGTGTTTGCATTTGATGGCGGCAGAAACAGCACCTTCAATATCCTTCCCCAGGGATGGCTTTGTCTATTGAGGATGGGATTCCAACTCGCTTCCTTCTTGTATCATCAGAGCTGGTCCACACACCGTGTGCTAATCTTAGAAACCATTTCATGAACATGCGTACCGCAACGCCACCCACCAAACACCCCCCCCCCCCCCCTCCTCCCCCTCCTCCTTCACCCGCCGGCTGTCCTTCCCAGGTATTAACCTATCACACAAGAATTAGGAATATCATCCGAGACTGATACTAGAATTCTCAAAGTGATTTGAGATCAAACTAAAACAAAAATCATGAATACGGTCAGTTTCTCAGGTTTTGAAACGTAACAAACTTCGTTCTGATTTCATACATGGTCACATAGTCAGCTATGGCTCACATCAAATGAAAACCGTGATTTATGCATTACAATTTAGTGTACGCTTCGGGAATGGCTGAGCTGTTGGAGAAATGTGATGACATGTTCTGCTGGATAACCCAAAAAAACAGGCCCCTGAAAAACCATCTTAGACTGAATGGGAGAGGTTGGTGTTTGCGGCTGATCAATACGGTTGAGAGGAGAAGCTAAATTGTCAAGAGAATGGCACCTATAATTCTCCTCTGCTTGTATATCCGTAGCAGCAGAACCAGGAACATTTATGAGCGGTCCGTGGTCCTTACCCGCGACGGCGTAAAATGGACACCGGCTCGTAGCTAGCAATGGTCTCAGTTTCTGCAGCCATGAGGCTGAGACGGATGAATGCTCCGGGGTAGCCCGGTTATAATCTGCCAACTGCGTACTTCCAGTAACGCCATTCTGACCAATAATTGCAGCAGATGAATCTCTGGGCTGCTGGGCAACGGTTTGAGAGATTGGAACATGGATTCCCCAAGGTCTACTGGCCGACTCGCCTAATCGCACGTCCCGTAGCGATCTATCAAAACAATCATCACCCTGTTCCTCATCCTCCTTCTCCTTCAGCCGCTCACCATGTTCTCCTCCATGGCAAAGTGGCATGGCCTCTACCTCTGTGGATTCAGCATTGACATCCTTCGCCCATTTCTCTATCCTTCCAATGGAAACGGACGGTGCAGCATTTGGTCTACCGGGTTCTTGGGTTGAGGGGAGATAAGGTTGATGGTAAAGACTAAGTCCCTTGATCATATTTACCATGTCACCATATTTCTCGTCGAGTTGGCGGATGCTCTTAGCGTCTCTCTGATATCGTTGAATACAGATGGTATGACTGCGAGGGATTCTATGTTTGTTTTTTTGGAAATACTTAGCCACTTCCTCCGGAGAGTGGTCATCTAGATACCTAATCGGACACCTGGGAGCAGCGTCCTGTATCAAGGGAGAGGGTGTATCCTGGAGAGCTTCAGCTTTGATAGGGTCAAGGTCTTGTGAGCGAAGATCTGAGCTCGGGTCCATGAAATTAGATGCAGTCAACGCCTTTTGGAATTGCAAACAGACAGTGAAGGTTACCTTGCACATTTTTAGCAGTGGAATCGTGTTCGAGGGGACAGCTGGCTTTCGCGTGGACCATAGGAGGGTAAGTATTGTTATTTTGATTGTACTCATTTTGAGTAACAAATTTGTCGGCCAGGATTCTGTAGGCTTCAAGTCCCTTGGCAATAACTTCTAACTCTGAAGGTGTGATGTAGCCAGCCTGTTGCCCATCATAAATCCATCTTGTATGGTCCGCAGATGCATCGTAGTTGGATGGTTGAAAGGGCATAGGCGATATCATTTCAGCTATTTCTGCTTTTGCAGCAGAGCAACTAGTTAGCTGGTTGGCAAGGTTCAAGTACTATTTTATCATGACATTAGCCCAAAGGAACCGTGGTAGTCGGTGCAATAAAGTAGAGATCAAGTATATGCGAACATCAGATAATACATGCAGATGATTCAGTCACTGCCGCAAAGATGTGGCTTCTGATCTAGAGCTAATTAAAGTTCTCTCATCATGTAACGCAAGAAACAAACAGAGGGAATGAAGAACAAAATAGAAAAGAAGAGACAGATACCTCATCATAAGCAAATTGAAGTCTATTTGATAACTCTCTTTCTTGCCATACTAGCTTCTGAATTAGTTCTATAAGGGTATCAAAGCCTTCAGCCAGGGCTATCACCGCTTTGTTTTGCTCGTCCTGCGTCGTAGTTTGAGAGAGAGACATTTGATGAATCCGAGGAATTAAGGTTGTTGACAGTAGTGCATTCAGTGGAAAGCGAACTAAGTCCTATTGATCAAGGATGTTATTATTGTCCCCTGCAAAGAAGAGCAACGTTTGTCCAGAATTTAAAGGAGAGAAAAAGAGAGGATTGAAAGAAGCTGAGCGTGTCAAATTTTCGGCTGGAAAAACTTTCGGTGGGGCAGGCCCGGA